TCAGCAGGACCAGCTAAACCATTCATCTGTCTAAATTATGCCATTTTCAATCTTTCTCTTGTAGTTTTCAGTAGAGAGCTTGACATACACACATGGGTCTACTGGGCTGCTAACATGAGTGCAACACGATGTGGTCTTTTCAAATGCCATACACAACTCTTCTGTGATGGCCTGTTGTATCTACAGAAAATCGCAGTGTTCTGTACGTACCTAGCACGTGCTGGGATTCATCTGGACAAACATTCAGTTTGTTCAAGTTGTTTAAGGAGTCAACTACATAAAGTTTTCCTTCTTCATGAGTATCTGGCAGGTTAATTTCCAAGGAAGGCCTCTCCATTTTATCTAAAAGAACTAATAATTAAAAAGGTAAATTAAAACATGGATATGGGAAACAACTGGTAACAGTGTCCTGTTCCAGGGAAGTGCTGAGCAGCCTTAACTACCTTTAAAACAAAGGGATTTGAAGGACCAGCGTATTTACTAGATGTTGAAGCCAAGGGTAACTCAGTACATTGCACCTGTTTCTTCTTGGAGATCTTTGATGAGTATAAGATTTCATTGCTACATTGTGTTTGTGCATGTGTGTGTGTGTGGAGAAAGAGAGAAAAAGAAAAATCTTTCACCAGCTCCAGCATTCATTTGAATGCTAGTTATTTAGTTGTACAACCCTTTCTGTTTGCTGAGTACTTGGTAAGATGATGGGTGATATCCTGGTCACAGTGAGAGCCAAACCTTCATTAAGACTACCAGGAAGGATGTCACTCAGGTCCTCTGCTTTCAGCAACAAAAAATTCAGAGATAGGACAGAGAAAGCAGGTACAGATGTAGGAGATTAGCAGCAAGAATATGAGTCTGCTTATACACCTTAGGATATCACTATGAAGTTATTGTTTGTAAAAAATGGAGCAAAACATTATCTTCTAACGTGGTTCTACACTGCATAAACTCTAGTTTTGGACAAATTAAAGCCTGATGGCAAAGCCTTTTCTTTGACTAGTACTCCTTGCTTAAAAAAAAAAGCATTGGGTGATGCCCAATCAGCAGCTTCTCTGCAAAGTCTGGGTGCATGAACTCATTGTTTATATAAAGTTCTGAAGAGCGATTATATATAAAAAAGCAATACCTAAGCAGGCTCCTCTATGAATTGCACGTTATTCCTTAACAATCCTGGCAATAAGGAGATGCAGATGCTCTAACTAGGCACCTTAGATCACTACACTGATCACTGAAAACTCCTTCTGTAATTATTGAAGAAAGAAACCGTATCTCCAGGTAACATTTCTCTTATTCTGAGATAGGTTTTTTTGCTGGATAATATTCACTGAGCCTTAGTAAGTCAGAAGACTAAGTGCTTAAATCGCTCCTGGAAATGGGCTCATTCTCCTTACAGCAGGGACTGAGCAGCCTGCTTTTATACTTCTATTTAACAGGACATAAAACAAGATTACAGCTAATTTTTTTTTTCTCTGCTGGGAATTGCTGCTGCAAAATCAAAGATAAGGCAGAAAAGCTGGCATAGCAGTGCTTGCCCTTACCTAGCGAGTGACTTTTAGGTGTGCAGCAGTGAGTGCAGGAGAGGTGGCTGTGTCCACTGCCCTCCCTTAGGCTGTGGGGTGGTGCCAGGCACGCAGCCTGCCAGCCGGTCCTGGCCAGCGCTGGCTCTGCTGCCTCCCCACCAGCCCATCCCCAGCAGGTGCCGCCTTACCCAGCCCTGCGCTGCCACTGCAGCCTGCTAAAAGTTACCGCCTCGTGCAGAGGCTTTGGGTTATTTTTAGCTTCCAAAGAGCAGTTACGTCTCATGGGTATTTTGATTAGTGCCTCCCTGCAACTTCAGGGAAGACTCTTCTTAACAACTTGAGCTGTAATAAATGTGAGTACCTTTGACTCATTAATAATATTAATGATCTGTTTCTGCATTCATTATTAATTATTTAAAACCTGTTTCTTCACTGTGCATGTAACTGCAGTAGAGATAGTAATTATTATTTATTCAGCAAAGTCTACATTACATTTATTCATTTCCGTTGATATGCCAAACAACAGAGACATCCGTGTCACTGACCAGAAGTATTGATTCATTTCCCAGTAAATAATCTAAACTTTGTGGGTTTTGGAGTCACTCTATCTTGTACTTCAGGCTTGCTTGAAGACCTTTTTTCCCTTTCAACTTTTAAATTTCTCCTTAAGTTGTTGTGGTAAAATTAGAACTTACTGTGAAAACACGTTGAAAATTCTTCACAGAAAAAAGGAAAACAATGAAGTCTAAAAGGGAATAAAAATTGGAGAATGAAATATTACTTACAATGTAAACGCCTTCAGGTAATGGGTCAGTATGGAAGAAATCAGCCAGTGAAAATCACCCAAAGAAAACTCCTCTCTCTACCTTTAGACTCATAGGAACCTGTCAGCTCCTGCAGGACCCATGAAGGCAGCTACCAGACTGCCACTTCCAGTCTATTTTTAGAGTTTATCTTGGCCAAGTGTACTGACTTCACAATATTGACCTGTTTAAAAATAAATCAGCAAATATACAGTATATGATATTGGAATAATTGCAGTAATAACCTATCATGGAGAATGAGGTTTGTTACTGATGATCTAATTATACTAATTATAATTTCGTTAACCTTTTGGTTTATGATGCCTTTTTGTAACTCATTTGCTATGCAGAAGAGTCATATCTACAATACTGTAGCTATGAGTAACCAGCTTGCTATGCAGAAGAGTCATATCTATAGTATTGCAGCTATGAGTACTTTAAAGGCATAGACCAGAAAAAAAACCTACAGGGTATTTTCCTCCTTACCCCACACACTTAAAAATTCAAGTGGAACAATATTATGGGATGGACTAGTTTTCCTGCCATCCTTCGCTGCTTAAAAAATAAAATTCTGAGGAATTATTTGTGAGTACTGGTAACTGTGCTTTTGCACAGCTCTCGATTGCTAGTGTTTTTTTTGCCAACATGGCAGCATGTAATGTCACAGCACATAGAAATGACAGGCAACTGACATACAGAGGGATCACACCTCAAAACAACAAGTTCTTTCTGAAGCCATTCTGTATGTCTAAAATTGTGAACCCCTTTAAACTGAAAATGTGTTTTTCTTTCAGGAAACAGAAGAGAGGATACATGTTCTGACTGTTTCCCACCCTCAGTTGATGAGCTTTGCTGCTGCCCAGTCCAGGTAGCTGGGTCAGTAATGCAGACATAACAAGCTTGCTCCCTTTCTGCAGCAGTGTCCTCAAAGTCCTCCCTCCAAACAAGGACAGGCAGACCAGAATAAAAATCTCACCTCCATCCCTGGAAGATTCCTGACACCATCCTAACTGGAAAACAAGGACTCGGCACTATCCTGTTCTAAGCTTGAAAAGGTCTACAAACTCATCAGATCTTTGCAGGGCAGGAAAACTGCACATCTGCCCTCAAAAAGCCTTGGAAGCCTTCCTGGTCTCTGTGGTTGGCAGTGACAGTGTAATGGGGGAAAAGGCAACCACATGCTTGGCCACCTGCCAGGAAGTGCTGTGAAATCAATTTTGCAGAATACTGGCAGAACAGGAAGCTACCAAAAGTGCTACGTTGCACTAGCAAAGCCTGCCAAAGGTGACTGCCCAGAAGCCATGGGAAAGACCTGCAGGCTTGTGGGAACAGCTTAGGCCAAGGGAGGCAACATCTTGGGCTAGGCAAACACAGGTAGACAGCTTCACCTAGTTCCAGGGTCAGAAGTTTCTTCTCCACTTTTGTGACAAACACCAACAACATAGCACAGATTTCAGTTGACAGAGTTGAAGGCCTTGTTGTACTCAGAGTAAAGTTTCATAAGCCAAAGAGGTTACTACATAATGCATTATTTGAGAATAAAGCTCAAAGGTACTCTGCTTAGCATGTATAGATGTAGCAAGGTAGGCACCAGCCTCTTCTCCCAAGTAACAAACAACAGGACAAGAGGAAATGGTCTCAAGTTATGCCACAGATTTAATTAGATACTAGGAAAAAATTCTTCACCAGAAAGGTTGTCAGGCACTGGTGGAATCGCCAGCCCTAGTGGTATTTGAGAGACATATAGATGTCATGCTTTGGGACATGTTTTAGTGGTAGTCTTGGCAGTGTGCTAGAGTAATGGTTGGACTTGATGTTAAAGCCTTTCTCCAAAAGTTACTGATTTTCTAGAATAGGTTCTGCTATAATCTGCAGCTAAAAAAAAACAAAAAACAAACCAACCCAAACCCAAAATTTTCCCTTATCAAAGCAAGCAGTTCTCAGGGTGTGGGGTTATCTTGGGGTATATGTTTACTTTCTCTGCTTTAAGCAGCTACAGCTTTAAGAACATTTAGTTTACCATGTACTTTTACTCCAGCTATCTAGCTTTTAATGTTTTTATAGCATAAAACTCATCTCAGAGAAGGACAGGTCTGTTAACCGGCAGAATTCAGTCCTCTAGTCAAAAACTGAGGGTAGGATGAGTTTTCAGCATGATCAAAACAGGGCAGTTGGAACAGCTCCAGAAAGATAAGGGAGAACTTGTTTTGCAGTAACAGAATTAGGAAATATTTGACCATTTCAAAAGCAATAACCAGCAGTAGGCTAGTGTGCAATGCATCTGTAAATACGTACCTTGAAAACCAAGCAAGGTAGTTTCATGTAGCATCTACAAGCCAAGTACCTCTCTGAATATTTTATTGGTGCTCCAGCTTTCCATTCATACAGAAATCACTTTTACAAAGCAAGCAGTAAGAATCATTTTTATTAAAAAAATTAAACATCCAATTCTAGAACACAATCGTTTTTTTACATTGAGGAAAGTGTCTGCCATCCACTACTTCACTGTAAGTGAAGATAATTGAACTTCATAATCTCCTTCCAGATAAAGTCATACTATGTAGAAATTTTGTCCAATTGCCATTGAAGAGTTTAAAAAGTTGCTGAAATAATTTCACATAAACGAGTTCATCTTTTTAAAACACTTGGTCAATGACTTAATGTAATGTACCTTATATAAAGTTAGGAATCCAATCTGACACACAACATTTGACTACAGTTATCCAGCCCACTCAACAGTTCAGTTACAATACTCAACCTCTGGAGCAAGTTGCATCTGATAAGTGTTACAATGTATACCTGCAGCCAATCTTACAACTATATATATATACAGAATGTATACAACTAAGCAACAACATGCATTGTATTTACAGACTATACAACATCCCTGTGCACAAGTGCAAACTTACTACAGGAATTTAAAAATTAAAGATTACAAATCTATTTTCATTATTAAAATTGAACCCCATGGAAAAAAGATCTAGAAAAATTCCCCCACATCTGCTCTTTTATCACGACATTTACTTCTAGCCTTTGTCCGAGCCTTGAATGCTGCAGAGTTGTACAAGTGCTACAAAATAAAAGGAAAAAATAATCACAGATGGTCAATAGGCTTATGTCCTTTAGAAATTTCTTGTTAAAAAACAGCTGAAAATATCTTTATTAATCTTTGAAGTAAATCGGTAGGCCTCTGAAATCTCTGCTATGGTGTCTTTGCACCAAAAACGGATTAATTTTAATATTTATACATTTAAAGGAAACTTGGGACTGTATAAGAAAGGCTGAGCTAGGAGCAACATGAACATCATACAGACAATGTAGATTAAGTTTGCCCCCTAGATTAAACTTTGTAACAGAACTCCATAAACTGTTAATAGATATGATGAGTACATTCACAAACAAGCAGAAAAGTCATCCTGCTAGTGCCCATTTCATACTGGAGAGTTCAGGATACTGTCTTCTTACAAACTCAGTTTCTATGGTTTCCTGTAGGTTGCTACTCAAAAACCTATACCTCTTGTAAGAGCATGAATCTGGTACCAACCACCAACCAAGTCAACCTTCAGACCCCCTGGGAGAACCACAGCAGCAGGCACATGCCAAGTGGAAAACTGTACAGCAAGGGCTCAAAGATGCACATGCAAGTAAAGATTTGGATTCACTCAGTGATATGGGCCACTATTAGAACTGACAAGCTTAAAGACAACAGTTTTTAAAGTGCACATTTGGAATGCCATTTCATTCAGGAGAAATATAAGTCTAGGAAAGAAAATACAGTAAGGTGCAATAACCTACCCTTTCAAAACGGGATATCTTCATTGTTTTAAGAGTTGCAGCATCTAGCATTACTGGTGGGCCAAGCTCAAACACATTCCGAAGAAAGTCATTTGACTAAACAAGAAACATCAAATAATCAGTTTCTCCTCTGATTATCAAGTTTCCAAAGTTGGCTACTGTTAATATTAAGTAATCCAGTAAGAAACAGTATCAATTTAACACCAATTATAGTATCTTTTGCAACTAAGTCAGGGAACACTTCTTCCTTTCATCAAAATAAGGCTAAGAACTAAAATCCTCCTCTTAAAAGAAAAGTTACCCCACCCAGTTGATTTTTGTCCCAGCAAATTAGACTCTGTTCTGTTACAGGCTGCTGGGCACAGATCTGTATGGTTTCACAACACCAATTTTAAAACATCTGACTGTAAAAGTAGTATTTGAAAAATCTGAAAAAGCTGCTACATGACTGGGCACCCTCAGTCACATAAAAATGCAACTGACACTGGACTTGGAATTTTAATTCATAATTAAAATAGCAATTTGGGAGCCTACACTCCTAACCTACAGTTCCTACTTTTGCTATGTATCTAAACATGCTACTGGACAAACATTTCCTAGAAGAGATAAGGACTTATCCCTTCCCTTCTGGAAGGCTGTTATCATTGGGCTACAATTAGCATTTCTTACGTTTTTACTACAACTTTGCATTCCTTTTTACAGGCTAGAGCAGGAAGGGTGGAGGCATACAGCTTTATAGTAGGGAGCTGACTACATCATTCTGCTGAAAGACAGCATCAGGATTCAGGAAAAATCCTGAAGCTAAGATATTCAACTTGAATCTCTTCTTGGAGAAGTATTCTAATTGCTAACCCTGCACACCCAGCCTAGCACTCAGAAGCAGTTCACCCAGACAATTCTAGCTCACTGTAGTTCATCTTGTAAGTGCTGTCTTTTAACACTTCTGATGCAAAGCCCATCATGTCACCAAGTTCTACTGATTTCATAATTCAGATTTAATTACTAGAAAGAAGCCAGACAGGGAAAAACAGTCTAAACCTGTATCAAACAGCAGCTCACCTGCAAGTGATACTGCATCCCTGACCCCAGGATCTCCTTGAAGGTATCATAGGTTTGTTTTTTAACCCAGCAGTCAATATACATGCGCTCCGGTCCAAATTTTACCATCTCTGTAGGAAAGTCACGCTCCTATCCAAAATTAAAGAAAACAGCATATGCAATTTTAGCATTCTTTTTTATTATGAATTGTATGTATCTCTGTGAACTTAATTTTTAAAATAAATTTGGCACACCAAAACCTTCCAAATAACATACACATATACTGAAGATTCTATTTGTTCATAAACTGATTCTCACCTAAAGTTGAATGTCATGTAAGACTTGAAACTGACACTTTTCAAGTAAGGAAGGATTAAAAAAGCAACACAAGTTCAATTCCTAAAGTTATTTTAATCTTTAAAGTTGTCTCCAGAAAAACCAGTTCTGAGTGCAGGAGTTACCTTTCAGTCAGTTTCTAAGCCTCATTCAGTCCCCACCTTTCAAATGTGGTGAGCTGCATTTGTGACAATGGAATGTAACAAGTCTTAGTAAGTGACTCATTCTTCTACAGGTAAAACCTCAACGGTGACTTCACATCACTTCAAGGCCTTCTTAGCTTCCAAGATATTTAATTGTTCTGAATGTCAACTAATCTTTAGTTAGCCTTACCCATAAAGCAACATCAAATGCAATTATTTGACAAGTTTAAAAAGTCTATAGTTTTAGAAGTGCAAGATAATAAATAACCCAGTAGAGTGGCAAAAGTCTGACATTTGTGAGGCTTTACTCAGAAGTTATGTCACTAAACAAGTATTTTTCAAGTCCTGCTTTGTGTATTTTTCTCTTAATCTGGATATTGAAAACCAAAAGATCACAGCAGAACAATTAAGACAACAACTGCCCTCCATGGAAGTGACATTTGGAATTGTTGCTTTTAGTTTGTTATGCACAGCTGTTCAACAACATTTTACAGAAAACTTTCTCACAGAATTTAAGACACTAACTTGGGTGCCCAATGAAGTTCCTATGAAAAAAATCTGCTCGTGGTATAAAAAAATAATTTAGTATTTACAGTGCAATGTTTAGTCTTCTTTACAGAAAAAAAGTATACTCTGATATGGAAGCCAAATTCAGAGAAAAAAAAAGCTTGACTTTCTTTGTTCTACATTCCCAAAAAAGCAGTTATATTTTGCATAAGCAATCAGAATTTGAAGTCTCATTTAAAATAGTTTTTCCTGTTGCTTTCACTGAAACAGTGATTCTATTTAGTAATAAAACTATTTTGATTCAGTTGTACACTACATAAGTTACAATCCAGACACTCAAAGTGAGACATAAGATTCACCTCAACAGCTCGCAGGATGTCTCTGAAGACCGATCGCTGCTTTCTTTTATCTACTTTGGCTCGGTGCTTATTTCCATCAGTAGCCAGAGCTCTTAGTTTCTCTGTTAGAAGTTCCATATCTTCATAAAAGAAATCCTAGAAGAAAAGAATTTTTTAGTTTCTTGCCTTTACTTTTCCCCACAAACAGAAAATGGGGCTCTCCAAATTCTGGGCAGGTAGACCTCAACAACCTGTTACTTTGTTATTCGAAGAGACAACTGTAATTTCCTGTAGTTCCCTTTGCAACATTTAAGCCAATTACCAAAGTCCCAGCATCCAGTTTGCCCAAGTAAGACACTATCAAACTGCATTCTGGTAGTCAGAGCCACATGAAACACTACAGCTCCTTCAGTGTGTGCATATACCTGTCAATCTGTTCTGCTCCATAACTCCAAGGGACTCAAACTGCCTAACTCATCTGCT